ACCATGAATCAATCCTAGATCACACACTCTGAAAAGTCCTACTCTGAAAAAAACCCTACCTATGACTGCATGAGTTTAGGGAATACATCAAGACACAAACCATAGCATCCTACCCCTGCCCCCCAAAGACTGAACATTCCTTTATGTGAAAGATATTTAGTCCATCTCTAAGAGTTGCTAAAGCTGTAATAGTTTCAACCCTGCTAAAAAGTCCAAGTCCAAAGTCTTCTTTGAGATTTAAGGCAAACTCTTATCAGGGCTTATAGCCCTGATACAAATGAAAAAGAAAGTACTCCCAACACTTGACGGCACAAGATAAACACTTTTCATTCTAAAAGTCACAAACAGAGGTAGAAAGTAATGGGAGCAAAGCAAGAGAAAAATCCAGCAGGGCAAACATTAAATCCCATAGTTCCACTCCTAGCATCCTCAGCAATCTGTGGCAAGTTGTGAACTCCAAGGACTGGGTGGTTATCCTCCATAGCACTGTCGCAAGTGGTAGTAGTTCCACAGCTTCTCTCATGGGTCCACTTTGCTCCTCCTTGCATTTTTTTTCAGATGACCCAAATTCCTGACTTCTCCAAACTTCTGGGGTCGCCAATCCACCTTTGGCTTTACACTCACAGATTTACACATTGCCTCTCACATGCATACTGCCTGGTGTCCCAGGCCTCCTGAAACCTGGGTGAAACCCTTCCTGATTCCACAACTTTTGCATTCCGCATGCACCCCAAACTAGTACCATATGGACGATGCAGGGGTCCACTGCTAGCTGGAGTAGTACCACGCTTGCTTCTCTTCTGGCTGTTGGGATGGAATACCTATGAACCAAATCCAAAGGAAGAACTTCCCTAGACTGTCACCTCTCAAAGCAGTCTTTCACTTTTGCAATTTTGAGGCCGCAAAAGGTGGAGTCCTGCTGCTAAGTGTGATGCCTTCAGGCCATCTTTCCTATTCTCCGTTCTTCTCAGCAATCAAGATCTCCATTGCTCTATCTTTGCAGTCCATAGCTTTACTGTAGCTTTATTTCTGGCCAAACTCAAAAGGTTTTAAATCATTCTGCAAAGTCCTTTGCTTGATTCCCAACATAAATCTGGCTAAAAGACCCCAGCAATAGTCATGCCATCACCTCAACATTAGACTGCTTTGAAATTTCTTCTACAAAATTAATTACTCCACTGCCCTTAATCTCAGTCTCAGGAGAAGTCTCTAGACATGGACAAAATGCAGACAAACATTCTGCCAAGCATAAGACATATAGCTGGAGTCCCAACAACCAATGCACTCCTTCTTCCCAGCAGAAGCCTCGTGAGCACGGTCTTTACCAGCGACATTTCTATCAGGCTTCTGGTCTTCCAAACTCTGATGAGAATCTCCCATCAAGTACAGTCTAAGGCATTCCAACTCTACTTTGTCAGCCCGCCATCTACAAACCTTTTCTAACTCTTTCCCATTCCATGAACCAGTTACAAAGGCTTTTGAACTGCATGGTCAGGCAGTCACAGCAATTACCCCACTTCTCTGGCACCAAATTCTATCTTAGTTGGTTTGCTGAATACAAAATATCCAACACTGACAAAATAAGGGAGGAAAGGTTAATTTAGCTCAGTTTGTTGAGATTTCAGTCCATAATTGGCTGGCTCTAAGGCAGGGTAACAGAGCAGACAGACATCACATAGAAGAAACAATTCAGGGCAGGCAGAAAGTGGCAAATCAAATAAGGGATGACAACAGCTCTTTTTAATCCTTATATCTTATCCACGCTACTCAGAGTGAGGAGCACTCACACCCTTAATCCTAGTGCCCTTGAACCTAATATTACACCATGCATCAATTTCAATGCCACACACTCAAGATCCAGCCACCTCGAAAAAAAAGCCCATGAAGTTTTGGGGTGACTTCTAAACAGAAGCCATAACAATTGCCCACCCAGACATACCTAGAAGCCGGGTCCACAGTCCCCAGGATAGATCTCAAAGTTAATTTTTTATAGTATAGATTAAGAATGTCCCCCAAAGATCTCATATAATCATAGGTAGAGCTTGTGGAAGGTGACTAATTCGTTGGCATGCTGTACTCATCAGTGGAATCATCTAGCAGTGAGTTCAGGAGCTGAGGGTGTTGTTGAAAGCCAGAAGACACAGGTTACTAGGGGATGGTATATCTCCCTCCTTAGGTCCTACCTTCCCTCTGTTTCCTAGCTGCCATGACAAGAGCAGTTTTCATCCTCAAAAAGCCTTTCTATCATGCCGCTTCCTGCATTTGAAACTGCCAAACATGGGCTGAAATTTCTAAAACATGAGCCAAAATAATCTTTCCTCTTTAAGCTGTGGGCTGGTATTTTGCCCAAGGAATGAAAGAACTAACTAAAACACCAATCAAGTTGAAACTTAACCCTGTCATACCACATCCCTTCTCAACTTGTTATACAGATACAACTCCTTAAACCACACCAACATCCAAATAAACAATAGTGAATTCATTATTCCACCTAACATAACACGACTATCCTTCATACAACCAGAAAAGCAATAATCCCTTCTCCAAAGGGCCAACAGCCCTAAAATTTTCTAAAAGTTCAGTCTCATTTGAGATTCAAGTTAAACTCTTAGCCTTGAACTTATATAAAAGCAAAATTCAGTTATGTAATTCCATGGTACAATGATTACAAGGTAAACATTCCCATTCCAAAAGGAATGAATAGGGTAACAGAATCAGACTGAAGCAATGCTGAAACCCAGCAGGGCAAATGTTAAGTCCTAGAGCTCTGTATTTGGCATCCAGGACACCCAGGAGCAAAATGTCAGTTCCAAAGGGTTTGGGCAGCCCCATCCCTGAGACTTTCCCAGCTGGAGCACCACGACCTCTCTCTTAGAGTGATTCTATCCACAGCATACATCTTTTCATGCTCCAGAGATCTTCAGCTTCCTGATTTCTCCACTGCACCTTTGACTGCATTCTTATAGTTTAGGTACTGCCTTTTCATGGGTTCCTTCCTTCCAGTTCTTCCTTTCAAATCTAGATGAAAGCCTTCCTGGCCCAACAAGTCAGTAACATCAACATCATGTGAACAATGCCATAATTTATTGTAAGCTGGAGCAGTTATTAGGGCTCCTTTGGATTGTGAGTACAATGGCCTCTGAGGGCTTGGAGAACTGAGTTCAGTAAAATGAATCCTGCAAAAAAAATTACCTGTGAGGCCCTTCTTGAGCAGATGTCTCAGGGACTATTTCTACATAATATTTCTCACTTTACACTCTTGACCCTGAAATAGGTAGAGTCTTTCTGATTCCTAAGATACATCAAGGTACCTTTCTTCTTGTCCCTGTACAAAGTACTCGTTTCTTTTTAATGTGTGGGGTTTTTTTGTACTGGAGAATTAAACTCACGATCTTGTACATGCCAGGCAGGCACCTATACCACAGAGCTAAACCTCCAGCCCTTCTTTCTAATGGTACTAATCTCTTCAGCAGCCACGCTTCCTTTGGTCCCAACTTTACACGATTCCTTCTGAGCCAAAATTTAAGTTTTAAAATTTTTTTAGCTCTACTTTTTGCCCTGATTCTCACTACAAAGCTGGATAAAAGTAGTACTTATGCCACAGGTTGAATAATAAGCTGGCCATTTCATTAATTAGCCCACTGTTCTTAACCTCAGTCTCATACAAAGTTTCAGAATATGGGGAAAATGTAGACGAATTTTCTGCCACAGTGTAATAATACACATTGCCTCTAACCCAACTGCCAATGGAGTCCTTGTTCCCAACTGAAACTGCTTGAGTCTGGTTTTTACTATCCACATACCTATTGGAATTCTTATATTCCAATCTCTGATTAGAATCACTCATCACACTCTGTAAACACTGTATGGCAACTCTAGTTCATATCTTCAATCCTTTCCCAACTCCTCTAGCAAACTAGTTCCCAAGGTTTCTAAACCAAATGATCAAAGTATAGTCACAACAATGAACCCATTGTGGGTACCAATTTTTAATATTAGTCAGTCTTCTTATCAGTGAGATACAATATCCAATACCTACAGTTTAAAGCATGAAAGGCTTAATTGGCTCATAGTTTCAGCCCATAATTTGCTGGCTCCAAGACATACATATCAAGGCCAAATGGAGTGGCAGAGCAAAGTTTCTTAGTTCATTGAGGCTGAGAAGATGACCAGGGAAAGAGTACCAGAGCAGAAGGGATCAGGAACCAGTTAGGGAGCCAATGTCATGTCCTCCATGACCTACTTCCTCCAATTAGACTCTACCTTCTAAGAGCTCATTTTTCTATGAATTCATCAAAAGGCTAAACCATTGAGGGATCAGACAGAAATCCCAAGGCAATGCCTCCCCGCAATGCCTCCCGTGACTCACCCAGACACACCAAGAAGCCCATTCCACTAGTTTCTACCTAAGCAGATCCCAAAGCCAATCAAAGTGAAACTCCACTCTAACCACCACAGACAGAATGCGAAAAATACCAGTTCTGTAAAAAACCCTCTTATCCTAAATTAGTAGTATGCTTACTCTATTTTTATAGGTTAAGAAGTTACTCTTTTTGCCATTTTAACCAAAACCAAAAAAAAAACATAAAAATTCCTCACACCTGTTTGATCGGAGAATTTTGATGTTTTCCATTTGTCATATCAAAACCAAGAACTGCAATTTTTTTGTATAAAGTTATTACATAGACAGCAATCTATCATTAAGTAGTGCTATATTATTCTTTTTAAAACACTGTTTCCCTTCAAATCAAGTATATTATTTTTTACTTATTTAAAATTAAAATGAAAAAATTATACATCAATCTAATCAAAGAAATACATGTAGTATGTACCATATGATATGAATTATGAAGAAAGGTATTTATATGAAGAGGAAAGGGATATTAAAAAATTAAGATGGTATGTACAAGTACCAACTTCCTTTGATGAATATAATCATAATGCACATTAAGTACAATAAAATTAAAATTTAATAAAATAGGAAAGAGAACCATTCTCACCTTTGTACCTACCACTTATACCAGGATGAACACCAGACGTAAAAGCTGGGTCTCGATCAAACAGCAACCTTTCAAATACAAAAAAAGGCACGGGTTACTTTCAGGTTTCAGAAACAAAAACTAACATTTTAAGTGTCTTTTCTTGTTCTTTCTTTTTTATTTTGAAGAGAATAAAATCAAACCAAACAAAACAATAGTCAATCAAAACAAAACAATGAACTTGATAAAGGACTTCAAAACAAGATAAAGGAAATCAACAATAGCTACCATAATGCCTCTTGTTATGTTTAAAGTAACTGTCCATGCCACCATACATAATAAAATCAAACAAACCAGAACAGAATAAAGCCAATCAAAAGTAATACAGGACTTCAAAACAATAGGAAATCAACAATAGCTACCATAATATGTCTTGTATCTTTGAAACAGCTGCCTATGCCATCAGATATAATTTTTAAAAATGAATAAAACCTATCAAAACAACAATGAAAATGATACAGGATTTAAAATAAGATAATAGGAAATTAACAATGGCTGCCACCTTCCTATTTTAGACATTTCCTCCCCTTTCATTTTCACAGTATCTATTGTATATTTTCAATCCCCACTAACTCTTTCAGTCTTTTATGCTGGGGAGAAAACACAATGTTCACCTATGTGAATCCGAACCATTTCATCCAACAGCATGATCACAAGTTGCATCCATTTACTTACAAGAGCCTCATAATTATCCCTCTTGTAGCTGAATAGCTTTCCACTGTGTAAAAATGTTGTATCTTCCTCATCTATTCTGCAGTTGATGCGCGTGCTACCCCTTCTTTTTTTCTGATTCCCTGTCATGTACAGCATTGTTTTCTCTCCTTTGTCTTTTATTCTATGAATTTCCTTTTGAGTTAAATGTGTTTCTTGTATAGAGCATATTGATGGATCCTGTTGCCTGATAAACTCTGCCCGGGTTTCTTTTTATTGGTCAATTGAGGCCATCTACATTAATGGGTATGGCCAACACGCACTGGCTCATTTCTGCCTTGCTCTTTTCCTGCCTCTGGCTGCCTACTTTTCCCTTCCATTCAACTACTTGCCTTGTTTGGTTGATCCCTCTCTGTCACTATTCCTGGAATCGTCATTTTTATCTCTCTCTAGAATGTCCTTCATTAATCTTTGTAGAGATGGTTTGGTGGTCATAAATTTCTTCAGTGATTCTTTGTCATGAAAGTATCTCATTTCTCTGTTAACTTTGAAAGACAGCTTTTCAGGGTACATCAGTCTGGGTTGGAAGCCGTTTTATTTGAGGAGGTGAGACATTTCACTACAACCTCTTCTTCACTTGATAATTTGTGCTAAGAAGCCTTTCATGATTCTGATGACTTTTGCTTTATAAGTGATCTGTTTCTTTTCTCTTAACAGTTTTTAGTACTCTGTTCTTGTGCTGAATTTCTGGGATCTTGATTATATATCTAAGTGTAGTGTAGATTTATTTTGGTATGGCTAACTGGAGTTCTACATGCCTCACTTATGACAGGTCCTTTCCCCATGCTTGGGAAGTTCTCTGCCATTACTTCTGTAAATAGTCTATGTCATTTGTGTTGACTCCTGCTTTTTCACCGACATCTACCATTCTTACTTTATTTTTCTTGCGTCGTCTTACAGCTGTTGAGTTGTTATTTCCTGCTTCATTATTTTTAAGAGCTCTTTCCTTTTGTGATCACTAGCTGTAAACTTTTCTTCAAGGTTTGAAAGACTATCTTCTGTCTCTTTCAAGCAATTTTGTCACCTTTCCATGGAGTTTTTAATTTCCTGGGTATTGCTCTGAATCTGTTTTATGGATTCCAATTCTTCTCTATATTGTTCATTCAAGGTTTCCCTCACGCTCCTATGCTCTTTTTTTTTTTTATTTAACCTATATCTTCTTTAGATACACTCTACAACCCTTTTACTGTATTTGTCATTTCTTCTTTTACCTGAGACAGTATCTCTGTTCTGGTATCTTTTACAATCTCATGAAGTTGTTTCTTTACTGCAGTTGCCATCACTTCAGAAACTTCAGATGTACAACTCCCAATCTCTTCCATATTTACATCTCCTGCCTGGACTTGCTCTGTTTGGGTTGGAAGCCAGAGACTGCCTTTTGCTTCTTTCTCTTGACATTTTTCCTGGGTTTTTCTGGTCAAGTGGGTAGTGGAGTCCCAGGCACTTCCCACATTGGCTACAATTTCTCCAAAGTGTGACTGGTTGGTTCTCCTGGCCAATGCTGGCTGGCTACAGGTATCTGATTGTGGCCATTGGGTGCACTGGCCTGTGATGGTTATCAGCAAGAAACATCCCAGATGGCAGCTTGTGAGTGTACTGGGGCAGGGCTCACTGCTGCTTTCGAGTCCTGTGCTGGTTACCTGCGGGAACTGTCCCCAATGGTGGTCATTTCTTATTATACCTAAACTTTCTCAAATGTTAAATATTTCTATTTAAAAAATTATTTCAGAAATGTACTTTAATTGAAACCTAATCCAAGAAGAAAAATACTCATTCACATAATCATACTCATTTTTTAACCAATATTCTATTACTATTTTTGGTATTTGGGGAAAAGCTATAACTATCTTTAATTCTGTTTAATAGAAATGAAGTGAGGTTATTTGAGGGACTAATTGTGGTGGGTTTTTCCTCTGTAATTTTCTAAAGCACAGAAAACTTAGATTAAAATCCCAGAGCTACAGCACAGGAACTATCACAAAGTATCAACTGGGATCTTATCTTACTAAAAATCTTTCATACAGCAACTGATACCACAAACAGAGTGAAGAGACAACCCACAGAGTAAGAAAAGATTTTTGCCAGTTCCTCCTAAAACGATTAATTGGTAGAATATATAAAAACTAAAAACAATCAGACCTCCAGATTTAAAGACCCAATCTAAAAATATGCATCTGAAATGAATAGATACTTCTTAAATAAAGAAAAAATGGCAAATAAATATCTGAAATACTGTTCATTATCACTGGTCATTCAGAAGATGAGAATTTAAACAACACTGACATTTCATTTTACTCTATAAAGAATGACTATAATCAAGAAATCAACCAGTAACAAATGCTGGCAGGGCTGTGGAGAGAAAGGAACATTTCTCCACTGTTAATGGGAGCGTAGACTGGTGCAACGATTGTAGAATCTGTGTAGCGATTCCTCAAAATACTAAAATTAGAGGTTCCATTCAATCCACTATTCCCCTTCTTAGTATCTTTCCCACAAAATAAAAAGCATGACAGCACAGCAATACATGCACATCCATGTTTATAGCTGCATAGTTTGTAACAGTTAAATCTTGGAAGCAGCCCAAATACCCACCAACCAATGAATGAATGAAGATGTTTTCATACTTTGTGGAGAATTACTCTGCCATAATTAAGGTATCCTGAGCCATTCTAGATAACTGCACCATAAGACCATACTCTTAAGTAACATAAATTAGATACACATGTATAAATATCACATGGTTTCTCTGGTGTGAGAAAACAAAAGTGTAAATGAGGATTAAAATGTGTAATATTGGAAAATCAGAAGAAAAGGTTTAAATGAGAAAGGGAAAAAGGGAAGGGGAAGGAAAGATGGGACAAAAAAGAATAGATGGAAAAATGGAAACAAAGCTTTTGTAGGTAAAGAAAGGAAGAGTGGCTGAAGGGAGGGGAGCTGAATGGAAAAAAAGCAGCAAGATATACCATGTACAGGTACAAAGTTCCTAAGATGAACACTATTGCTATGTATATATCTAAAATATATCAATAAAATAAAAAACTTTTTTAAATTCTAGGGCTAAAACTCAGTATATATATATATATATATTTATATATATATGGTCTTTTTTCCTTTTTATCGGTACCAGGGATTGAACTCACAACTACCTGCTTGCAAGGCAGGCGCTTATGCCACTGAGTTAAATCCCCAGCCTGTATATATTTTTAAAACATTCAAGAACAAACAGAATTTCTTCAATTTTCAAAAATTTATTTCTGTGTTGAAGGCAACATCAAGGTGATAGAAAAGATATAATCAGAAAGCTCTACATTCAATGAGGGATACGGAACTAACAAATAGTAATGATTCTCCACGGTCAATATGTTACTTGATAGACTTAAATTTCTGTTTAAAAAATAGGCAAAGGATTTGAACAGACATTTTGGTAATAATAAAGTGAAAATGGACAGTAAGTATCTGGAAAGATGCTTAATGTCACTAATCAGTAGGGAAATACAAATTAAAACTGCAATTAGATAACATTTCCCATGCACTGAAATGGCTATTATAAATTTTTTTTTAATTTTAATACAAAAACATGCTTCAGAAAGGATGTGAAAAAACTAGAACTCAAAACATGGCTGGAGTATGCGAAATGGTGTTAAACCAAAATCTATGGCTGTTTCTCAAAAAACTAACCAGCACTGACATTTCAGCTAGTAGGGAGCTAGTAGGGAACAGGGAGCTAAGCAGAATTTGCATATATACGCTAATGGAACAGTTATTTCTAATAGTCAAAAGATGCAAACAAACCAAATATCCACCAATGCACACATGAAATAAATAAATACACACACACACACACACACACACACATATTGTGTGTATACAACACAATATTATTCTGCCTAAAAAAGAAATACAAATACATGCTACAACTTGAATGAACCTTATGTTAAAAAAAAATAAGCTAGACACAAAAGGACAAATATTACATGACTCCATTCATATGATGTGGTCAAATTCACAGACAGAAAGTAAAGTGGGGGATACCATAAGCAAGGGTGGAGGAGAGTATCTCCTCATAGTTTAATGAGCCTAGAGTTTGAGGTGGTGAAAAGGTACTAGAGATGCTGGTAATGGCTGCAGAACATGAATACCCTTAATGCCACTAATTTGTACACTTAAAAATGGTTACAATGGTAAATTTTATACAAATTTTACAATAATGAAAATAAAAAATAATTTTGCAGTACCCAAGAATACAAAAATGAATCATCAATAATAAGTAATATGTTCTCTGGAGCTGAGGGTTTTTGTTTACTTACCTAGTCATGCT